CCTGTATATATAAATTTCATAATAACGCACAACTTCATACTCAATCGAAGAAGTAGAAAAGACTAATTTCTTTTGTTTGTATGTCACCATTTGCAATTGAGACAAGTCAAGTACCTAATTGGCCTTGCCCCTATCTGAAACCTGGACAACAAGGGGATCTGGGACAAGGAGAGAAAATGAGAAAGCTAAAAAGTGACTGAAATATACATCATTTCTCATCATCATATTTCTCTATAATGCCTATCTAGTGAATTCAATCCATGTTATTATGGCATATTGTTTTCCCTCATGTTTCTTCTTCTCCTCCTGCCATTCTACCAAATAACATGAAATTTTGCTTTTTTCGGGCAAAAAATATACATTTTGGACTCTGGAGCCCTGGTATTAAATCCGAATGACATGAAATTTGGTATGGGGATACCTTAAATACATGTCCACAGAATTCCATTCACACTTTTGACATACACCACTTTAAAATTGTGTAAAATTGAGCTTTATGGCTATTTTCGGACAAAAAATGTACATTTTTTGCTCTTGTGCCTTATTATTAAATCCGAATGACCTGGAATTTGTTATGGAAAAACCTTGGACACATGTCCATGTCATTCACACTTTTGTTTGATATAACGTTACACCACTTTAAAATTGTGTAAAATATGGCTTTTTGGCTATTTTCGGACATTCGGACAAAAAATTTACTCCGGATGACCTGAAATTAGGTATGGGGATACCTTGAACACATGTCCAAAGAATGCCATTCACACTTTTGACATAGACCACTTTAAAATTGTGTAAAATAGGGCTTTTTGGCTTTCTTGGACAAAAAATCTACATTGGCTCCTGTGCGCTAATACGATAACCAAATGACCTAAAATTCAGCATAAAGGTAGCTTTGCACCTAGTGCTAAGACTATAGTGTTCACTGTTCAGATTTAGCTCTTTAGAATACTTTTATTTACCTTACTTTCAGTAAGATTTCGATTGTAGCTTGAAAACCCAAATCCCCAACTGACAGTTAGTTCTAAATAGAACACTGGTTCTACATGTTTTTTTTTCTTTATTAAAACATTTAGGAACAAAGTGAACAGGATGACGACACACTCAAGCCGGAGCTTATGTTCATGTCGCCATCTAACATTACAAAAATACAGAAGCAAATGCAAAAACAGACATGCAAAGCTTAATAATAACAGAATAGAATAAATAAGGTTACAATGTATAAAGTACTCCAGGCAAAACTTACAAAATTGATAGGAAAGATTTACTCAAATCTTTTAGTTTCCTTTATAAATGATTGAACATGAAGTAAAAATTTAAAGTTATTTGGATATGATAGTGATACAGAACCTCTAAGGAATAAATGAACTAAAACGTCGTCAGAGAGATCATTGAGGTTTATGTCAAATCCTACCAACTTAGCTAAATTGCTAAAAAGGGAGGCACGATATTGTGTATATTTAGGGCAGTACAAAAAATAATGCTGGATACTTTCAATGGGATGGCCACAGGTACATGCAGGACTGGTTGCCAGACAACGTGTGTACAAATTAGAGTTTAAATTATAAGTGCCCAGACGAAGACGAGTGAGAAGAGCGCAAGTGTACCGAGGGCCTATGCTAAAATATGGAACAGGGGCAGGGCGCACAAATTTAATGATTTTCTTCTTAAAACAAGGGAGACTTAGTGAGCGGTCTGCTATGTTAAGGTTATTCCAATGATGCGTTGAGTAGGGAATGAAAGATTTTTTGAAACGGCGGCGGCGGCCGACGGCGTTGGAAGATTCCATTGCTGCATGGGGGTATAGACTATTGGAACACTTCACATTTGGACAGGGGTGATTTAGGAACAATCCATTTCGTGCAGGAGGGGAATATGTCAATTTTTGGTACGGGGTGCATAGTGAAGCCATTTGCTCCCGAGCAAATGTCGGCCTTAAATATGTGTATTCTAATTGTTTTTTTCTGCACTTTTATCGCTGTCGTTTGTTGATAAATTTACGTCAACTTTGTTCTTTTCTGCAGTAACGTAGAGACGACGAGACACGTGAAGGTACAGGCAGTAAAACCTACAAGATATGACAACAGCAACGCCTAAAGTAGAAGTAGGATCGCTAGATATGCGATGTCATGAAATGCGTATTATGTACAGTATGAAATGCTTTAAAATAAGGTAGCAGTGCAATGATGATTAGATAATTGTGAGCACGAAATGATAGCAGGGATCTGTTTATTTGGTAATGCAGTGGCCATTCTGATTTTGTTTACTTGTAAAGGTAATTTACAAAACATACATGTAAGTAGCAACAGAAAATAATCGTGCTGTAGCTACAAAAGAAGCCATAATGGCTTGTTCGAGATCTTCCCCCAGCTAACGAAATAATGTAGAGATAATGTATAGATCAGTACAACTTACCCGAGGAACATTGTAATTGATTATGAATCATTTTCAAGTATAAATAACACGTATTATGTAGACTTATTGATAACTGGTACCAATTTGAGTTATAAAGATAATACTTAGGGAAGGAATAAAAGGGGGAAATGCCATCTAATAACCAGACTCTCATACATAAAATAAAGAAGATGCAACAAAGCCTTATTGATTTTAAATGATGATGAGTACTCACTGGAGACGCATCGTGTTATGTGACGTATTAATAATTTGATCTGGGACTTTTATCATGGTCAAAATTGACCGAAGGAGGCCATACCAATGTATGTTTGATTCACTCATTTTGGCTCGAATGTTGCAATATGTACTTGATAGCTTTGTTCAGTTGGTGTAACATTTTGGCTTTAGACATATAAAGCAATTAACCGTATCTAGAAGAGAATAATTAAGAAGCTGAAATCTGTAGGCTATCATGTCAATGATAGAGGAGTTGGCAATGGTCTATGTACATGCATAAGGTAATCTGAAATTGATCGTAACTACAGTTCAGTGCATTTTGGATTTATATTGTTAACTATGAGCAGCTGAAGACATAACAAGATCTAATTCGGATGAAACAGCTTTATTGCAAGTGTGGCAGTCTTTGAGTGGCGGGAGTGCTCCAATGACAGCCTCTTTTCATAAAATGTTTTTTCTCATTTCCAGGCTAGATATTTTAGGAATTGCATTAAAGCTTTGAATGGAACATGTGTTGTCTGAATAATCTACAACCAACGACACAATGCAGATAAACACATACGCACGCGCGCGCACGCACACACACACACACTGTCCACAAAAATATAAAAATAACGAAAAGACCCATTGGGACAATTTGGGGACAATAGAAAAATAATTAACATCAGAATGCCAGCCTTTCTTTCTTTTATCAGGCACACGTCCCAGTTTTTGGTTCCTAATTTGAACTGTAAAGTTGACGATTTTGACCCCTGAGTTGGGGTGCAGGCATTAGTAAGAAGGGTCTACTCCGCCTCTTTGGGGACCCAGGTGGTCCCATGGGGGCAGTATCCATTTGCCACCCGAAGTTTGACTGTCGTAAAAAAATACCAGTACCCAAAAGTAAGCGTGATAAAAACGCCTTAATCACGCAAAAATAAACCGAAGCCTAAACCTCTGCTTGGGGAGTACTAGAATTTGCAATACCGGTTATACTCTACTTTCGTCCTTGAACAAACCTAGGGCATAATCGGCTGTTTTAGCCCCACGAAATTCGTATCCGGACTGCTAAAATTAATCAAATGCAACAATATAGAGTGTAATCGGTGTTGTCTACGTAAAGCGTAATCATATGATGCCTGGATTGAGGCGGAGCAAGCTTGTCCGAATGCAACATAACATACATGTATAACGTTAGCCGCAGCCGTTGTGAATTTGGAGTAGAGCGTTTACAGTACGACCTCTAATCCCCTCAAAAGCATACCTATTTTTTTCGTAGCGTTTGTCAAACTTTTACAAGTTCCTGTATTCAATGGACGCTCAAAAAGCGAGTGCGCGTGTAGTGTTCACCACACTATGTGTTTAACATTGTGCGGATGGCGTTCAGCACCAAGGACAGGCACCGTGTGCATGTAAACTTGTTGGGAAGAATGCCTGAAGCCTGGGACGTAATCGGCCGTTTTGATATTACATAATTCGTAGCCAGACGACTAAATGGTTCATATACAACAGCATATAGCGTATGTAATCGGTGCAGTCTATGAAAAGCGTAAAATTAGCTATATTAGTGCCTGGATTTTCATGTAGGCGGAATCAGCTTGCCCGAATGCAACGTAACATGTAGCAGCTGCCATTGTGAATTTATCGTAGACCGTTGACAGTCCTACTCCTACCTTCCTCAAGTGCATGCCATTTTTTCTGTAACGTTTGGTCAGCTTTAACAAGTCTCCGTACTTTATGGACGCTCAAAAAGCGAGAGAGATCAAATTACAGAGAGATCAAATTTTCAGCGACCACTGTCGCCTTCATCAGGATAATTAATAATGTTTATTTGCAAAATCATGCCCGAGGGCTAATTGCTTGTACAGTCAAGATTACTGAAACAGGAGACAGGTAACAATCTGTCTGGAAAAACCTCTACTTCTACTACTACTCTAGCTATTAAGGGGTTCGACTTCTTCTTTGAAGGCAGTGGATAATGAATAGTCTCACATTCTGCATAATTAGTGGATTTTGTGATCTTAGTAGAAATGTAGTCTTTTGGTGATCTTCTAAATGACGAAATGATGGAGAGATTGTTGTAACTGTCTGAAATAATCTGTTTCTTTCGGTCTCATAGTGAGGACACTGGCTAACAAAATGTGTTTCATTTTCCACTGCATTCATTGTACAATATTTACATAATCTCTCGTGCACAGGTAGTTTTTAATGACCAATCACTTCACAACGTGATCTCGCAAGAGTTACGGTTTACAAGCACGTGACCTTATTCACACGAGACTTTACTGATACGTGACGTAAGCAATTGGTTAATACAATTATTGTACCTGCGTTTTCTAGATTAAAGTATATGCTAACAGAATCAATATGGTTGAGAACATAAACATGGCAGTTATTTTGACTATCTTCTTGAAATTTCTCACTCTTCCTTTTCTCTCGGATGACGTGTCCTCAGGTGACACAGTGAAATTTGACCCGGCTTGGTCAAGGTTGCTAACAAACATGGCTACCTCTTCATCAATTTTCCTAGTGACCATGCCACGTAGATCTTCCCCCCTTTCCTTTACCCTTTTCTCTACTTCCTCTGGGCATATTTTCTGGCGACGTATGTCCATAATGTTTTCCCTGTTGTCAAGAATGAAGCGTTCAAACTTATAAATTGTTGTAATAGTAGTTGTCGACATGGTTAAGTGATCTGAGTGCTTACTCTTCTGACAATCCTCGCAAACCAAAACCTTGCAGTCTTCACAGTACAGTTCAAGCTTTTTGTTATGTTCAGGGCACTGGTGCAAGAGCTCCGCCAAATCTGTATATGTCGTCTCCAAAGCTTTGGTGAAATGGCAGATTGCTTCAACTGTGCCTTTGCACGAGATGATATCCAGTAGCCTCCTAGCTTTGTCCTGTTGGGTCAAATGCTTCTGGAGAATTTTACACTTCTCTTCGTATGTTAGGATCTTTTCCTGATAGAGTAAGTCTGTTATAGGTCCAATGGACCGCATGTCCGCGACAAATGCCTCTCTGTTACGTCTTAGCAAGGTACGCAGATCTCCAGCATTCTCCTGCAACAAATACACGTGAAATGCTCATATTTCAATATACATTATATAGTCATTCGTACGCATGTAGTTACATGTACCAACAAGAATTCGGAGATCTCATACCTCCATGAAATATATGAGTTTTTCTAAATGTTTTTACACAGTACACTACAGTACAGAACAAAATAACAAAGTTTTTTTGGTTTCAAACACACAGTAGCACCTTATATGGTCATGTAGGCTTTTCCCGAGGGAGAACCTCATTAATCAAACCGGGCAGGCGCTGCCTCCACCCCGCACATCTGTTTCCCCTGCCACCCCGCACATCTGTTTCCCCTGCCACCCCGCACATCTGTTTCCCCTGCCACCCCGCACATCTGTTTTCCCTGCCACCCTGCACATGTTTTCCCGGAAGTTCTGCTGCAGTACCAAGGTCAGCCACCAGGAGGCCCATATTTGACCTTGACCTTCGTCTTCCTAAGACCTACCAGCATACCAAATATCATCACAATCCATAAAGGCGTTCTGAAGTTATGCTGACTACAAATGTGCGGAAACACAAACACGCAGACACACACACACACACAGACGCGCCAAAAACAATCCCTCCATTTTTCATGGAGGTAACAACACTTACGTGTCTAAGCTGCGCACTATGTTGTCCGACTGTAAATGTAGCCTCGCAACTTTGCCTGCATCCCTCCAGCCTTCCTGATTCTTCAGCATCGACAGATGGCATCCCCTTGTTTCTCAGCTTCGCAAGGACCCAGCCTATCTCCTCGTCAATAATCCTGCTAACCAAAGTCTGGAGTTCTTCTCCGTACCTTTCTGCCCACATTTTAATATGTTCACGGCGTTCGCTAATTTGTTTGCGACTTAAAGAGTTGAGCATTGACCTGCTTTCTCGAATGAAACAGTCGAATTTTGTCTTGATGTCTTCATTGACGCTAAATATAGCGGTGAAGACATGTTGAGGGAAGACATGCTCGTTTTTACACTTTTCGCATCGCAAACATTCACACTCTTCGCACCAAAACATCAATGGTGCATTGTGAGTCGGACAATAACGCAGAAGGTCTTCTAGATGGGAGCCTCTTAAACCCTCTCGGAAGCATACAAATGCGTCAATGCCTTTACGTTTGACAAAATCTAGTAGCCTTTCGTTTTGACTGGGTTTGTCCTCCCCTTTCCCGCCCAATATTTTGTTCTTCTCTTCCTCTGTCAGAATTTGTTTTCCAATCATACGGTCCAAAATATGGTCAACGCTGAAAATATCCCTAACAAGTATTTTTCTGTGTTGGTCTAGAAGTATTCTGGGATCACTTGTATCGCTCGCCATCTTCATAGAATCTGTAAGATGAAGAAAAACAAAATGTCTTAGAATTGTCTTATCACAAAACAGTTTTCCTTCTAAATATGTTGATCAGGTTGGTAGAACATATCCCATAGGATATTGAGATTTTCTTTTACACAATTGCAACCAGCAATACCCAACCCCATTGGTGAACCGGGACGAGGGGGGTACAAACTGCCACCCCGCACATCTGTTTTCCCGGAAGTTCTGCTGCAGTACCAAGGTCAGTACCTCCACCAGGAGGCCCATATTTGACCTTGACCTTTGGCTTCCTAGGACCTACCAGCATACCAAATATCATCACAATCCATAAAGGCGTTATGAAGTTATGCTGACTACAAATGTGCGGAAACACACACACACACACACACACACACACACACACACACACACACACACAGACGCGCCAAAAACAATACCTCCATTTTTCATGGAGGTAAATATAAGTTTCAGTTCCTCTTTTATTCCCATGACGGGGGTACTTTCCACCGATAGACGGGGATCCCCTAGCATCACCACTTTGCTTACAGGTAATAATTTCTTTACCCTAACTATCCTATGATTGTAAAATATCTTAAAACAAGAGTTCCACGATCTCATACCTTCGCCAAATGATGTTAACCCTTGCGGTTGACGAATTATACAATTTTAATAATTGATTTCGCAAATAAGAGCGTCATTTGCATGGATTACATCAGTTTATCATATTCACCACCCAATTACAGCCGCCTTATCTTAACAAAATAGGCTATTCTAGCACTTCCTCATAAATTATGCAAATGAGGTCATAATGTGAATAAATAATCTTCATTGATGTTCATCTTCACTTAACTTCCAAATGCAGCAAGTATGAAATTCCCAGCAATTACAACTATGAAATTATAACAATTTCCCATTAATTATGCAAATTAGGTCTTCATTTACATAATCTATATCCTCAGATGTTTTTCTAGTTCTCAGTTACATGTCACAAGTGTTTCATAGTCCTGTAATGGAACGAAGCAGATTTATAGAATTTCCTCATTAATTATGCAAATTAGCTCCTGATTTGCATAATTGTCATCTGATTGTGTCAAGCATCACTTCAGCTACCTACATACCAAAAATCATGACAATCCGTCAACCGGTTCTTGAGTTATCAACCTTCGGAGATTTTTCAACAAACGTTCCTGCAGTTCCAGGAAAAGCTGATAGGGGGTCTAAACTCATGTCACATTTTTCCTACCCCAAGAGCTATCTACCAACCAAAATTCGTGACCCTAGCATGTCTAGATCGAGAGATATCAAAACCGGAAGTTCTGCTGCAGTACCAACAAGAGCCGCCAGGGGGCCCAAAATCTAATCATTTCTAGGTCTCATCAAGACCTACCCACATACCAAGTTTCATGACAATCCATATTAAGCTTCTTGAGTTATATGCTGTTCACAGACAGACAAACAAACAGACAAACGCTACTGAAAACATAACCTTCTTGGCGAAGGTAAAAAGGACTAAATGCAACTGCATAATATTCCAAAAACACATCACTTGTCTTAACTACGCCTGTATACTACATATAGCACATGTATATATTCCTCTATAGCTAATGTGAGATAAGATTTTGCATGTTTGTAATCTGCACTTTGGAGAAAAACAGCTAGGTGCGTGGTTGATCTACCTTACAATCTCAACAAAGAAACGTATCAAGTTTGATAAAAGCGATTGTTTGTAAATGTTAGCACTATCTTTTATCAATTAATTTCTGACTTTGGCTGAGTCGCCACTGTTCTCGAAAACCGTAATGAATGAGGAGTGAGTTGTGTATTGGTTGTAGCTTTGCACATTGAATAGGCTAGGTAACATGATGAACGCGGATACGTGCAAGCTTTGTTAACAATTCTACAACAGTTTGACATGTGTATGCTTGCTCAAAATCAATGCAAGGCTGGGCAAAATCCTGTTCCTAGCAAAGTCGCAACCGTACCAAAGCATAGTGTGACATCAAATAGGGTGTTAACAACATTAGAATGTCGATTAAAATCTTTCAATTTTTGTCACAAAGTTGACTTTATAAGCATATAGAATCAAGCTATCGTAATACTTACCGCTAACCTGGGTGCTATCGTTTTTGTATGCACCGGGGCTCCCGTACTAACCTTGTATCCAGTCTACCGCGGTATGCATGGGCTGTCTTCGGGCCTCCTAGTACTGCAGACCCGAAAAGAGCCCGCCGAGACCGCGGTAAACTCCGGACACCTGCGGATGCGTCCATACTCGCTCCCTAAAATTATTGGAGCCCCGGTATATACATAGGATGGCACCCATGGTAACGCACTACCTGCATAACCCAAGAAGGCATCCAACTCCCCGTTTGTGGTCGGTTGTTGCTTCACGAGCGGGAATCTTGATCATAATATCTCGCCCGGGCCCCAGTCAGGGCCCCCGGTTTCCAAAAAAAAAAGCGCACGGGGAGCTTAAATACTAGTAATGTAAAACAACATTTGCATAAATTGAGGAACTTGTGACAGGGGATTTCTCAGACGCCATGTATTGCTCTTCCGAGAATATTGTAGTTTCGGTCACCCCATGCCGGAGTTAATTTGCATGTCATCAAAAAATAGGTTTCAGTTCCTCTTTTTTCTCATGACGGGGGTACTTTCCACCGATAGGCGGGGATCCCCTAGCACATAGCATCACCACTTTGATCACAGCCAATTATTTCTTTACCCTAAATTGTGAAATATCTTTGAAAAGGGACTAAATACATTTTTTTGTAGTTTGATATTGTTGTGAGACTATTTACAGTGGTTAGGCCACACCGCCTTAATTTTATGGATGACATCCGCGCGCGCATTGAAGTTTCGCCTGTTCTCAAAAAAAAAAAAAAAAAAGATCACGTCCACCGAGGCTCTGGCTTGGCTATAGGCCTGGGTAGTCCATGGTAGTTAGCGACAACACGCAGCCAGGCTACCGAAGCTCCACGACTCAAGAACATACATGCTCGTACATGCCGATTCATAAATTCCGCAAAAAGCCAGCATGTGCAGGCTTGTCGTATACTTCGCTATATACTGCCGCAAATTCACAATACCGGCTTTGTATTCCTGTGGTTTAGTAGCATTTTTATTTTTGGCCGGAATTTTTTTTTTATTCGCCCGCGCGCACTAGTTTGGGGGTCTTCAGAGGATGTCATCCATAAAATCAAGGCGGTGTGGCCTAGTGACGAATACAGTCTGCCGGCGCGTACGGCGCAACAACTTGTGTTTGCCATTGGGTGGAAATCCCCGGTAAACCACGTGATATCCAGGGAACGTTTCGCTGGATAAGTCCCGGTATAATTGGGTGTATGACTCACCGGCCCTACACTAGAGGCTAGACAGACAGCTCGGTCGCACAGAACAGACCCAAGCTGCCAACTAGAGCAGAAGCGAGGATGGAGTTCGTGAGAGAAACTGCAGGAAAGGCGAAGAACTTCTTTACTGGAGGTATGTACATGATATTAAAAGAAGAAGTCAAACCCAGTAAAACTAGTACCATGTATGTTGTAGAATATAGTATAATGCTAGACGTATAGTCTCACATACCACTGAATTTTCTTTCTTATGTTGTTTGTAACTGCAATTAGCCCTCGGGCAAGTATTTGCAATAAACTTTCGATATTATTTTCCACCTGTATCATAGAAAATGTGCATCGATGAAGGTTAGACATCCAGGTAATAGGATAAAAAAAAGCAGCTGGATATGAATTTGGAAATGTGGTATTTACAAATTGAAAATGTGGGATTTACACATAGAAAATGTGGTATTTACAAATTGATTGTGCACCTGTCTTGAATTTTGAAGAAAAAACACAGCTAAATATTCAACGATTAGCACAAAATCATTCGGCTTAGACGTTGTGCCTTTTGTGATTGTATTATTGGTGCGGAGATAAAAATCGTTTCACTTTCATTTTAGAAAAAAATCAATTGCCTGCTGCCCTAATATTCTTACGCGTATACTTCCCGCGCTAGTGTTGGATATTTTTCACCACACCACTTTCTTGTTCGCTGTCCGCCAACCAAACTCTTACCACATCTCAAAATTATTAGACTCCCTCGCAATCCTACATGATATCGTTCAGAGTAATTAACGGATGGTCCCCGAAACTGTGGCAAGGTACACGCGTGCCAAAACATACAGTTGGGGTCCGTGAGGGCACCGATAATTCTAACGCCTCTATCACACATTCAGAACCTTCCCCCGAACACCAGTCGCGACCAAAGTTGGTTGACGTTCGGGAGCATATGCAAATAGGATTTGAGTTAAATTTGAGTCAAATTTTACTGCCGACAACACCTCCACCTACACCTCCATGGTTGGGGGAGTTTACTCTCCAAGCAGATGTTGTGGGGGAATGATCGTTACCTTTTTATATATGGCCGTCTTTTTTTTGGTCGCTACCCCCACCAACGGTGGCTGCCGACCTTCTCTGGCTAATGGATACTGCCTAGCCAATTCGATACTGTTTTTGCCACCGAAAGGGATCTTCTTGGAGATTATGGGGAGCTCGGCAGTGTTCGGGAGGCCTAATCTCCAAGCAGATACCTCTCGGTGGCAAAAAGACAGTATCAAATTGGACAGACAGTATCCATTAGCCAGAGAAGGTCGCCGGCCACCGACGGCGGTAGCTAGCGACAAAAAAACAACAACGGCCATATATAAAAAGCTAACGATCATTCCCCCACAACATCTGCTTGGAGAGTAGGGAGGCCATGTTCGGCTATGTATGACTATGATATGGATTGACACGTTTCGTATTTTGTTTGTTTCAGGAAATCAGAACAACGGCGATCCGGATGGCATGGAGGTAGACCCCCCTTCTGGTCAGCAAGACCACTTTGACAGTTATAATCACGGAGGACAGCGTCATAGCGGGTTTTCTGGGTCGGGGGGAGGCTACCAATTGCAACCTCACCATGCCAACCAGTACCCGCAGGATCGGCGCGGTACAAGGGGGCAACCAGGTCCCCACGGCGGCGGCTATTCTTCCGGTTATCAAAACCAGCGACACCAGGTAAGTTCTGCCATTCGTATACCCGTTTTATAGATATTGGAATGGCGCCAGAACACGTTGCATGACGAATGTTAAGTGTTTGAAAGTAAGAATTAATTGATTTTAGTCTAGCCTTGTAGTTTTTCTTGGGGATTATAATGTGCAAAGGCTAGGTCGACGGATGGATGGATGGATGGATGGATGGATGGATGGATGGATGGATGGATGGACGGACGGACGGATGGATGGATAGATGTGTGTTATGAGGAAGGGTAGTTAATTTTGCTATACAGCTATCAACGTTATCTAATGATTAGTATTTGTTTATTTATTTTACACATTCTTGACCGAAGGCTAATTGCAACGGAACACGCCTGTTTTCAACTTTACAGGGAGGCTATTCCTCTGGCCATCGCACCGGTAACCCGGCGTTCCACGAACAGGGAGGCGGGATGTACAGGAACCAGTATGCTTACAACCAACAACAGGAGGAACTACGTGCCATCCAGATGAGAGAGCAGAGACACAGGTCCCTCCAGGGTATGGGTTTTCATATATTTGTAACTAATAGTTGCCGCATTGATGTTACACCTTTATGAATACTGAAACTGAGCACTTTCGGCTGATGTCCGGGAACAGTATGGCAAGATTTAGGCCACGCCTACCTTTACGTACGAATCAAAGTGAATATGAGTTAAATTTGATTCAAATTTGACTCCCGAAGACGCTCCGAACGCTGCTCACTTATTCCCGAAAGGTTGGCTGGTGTTCTGCCGTCTTACAGCCGAATGGCAGCCAACCATAATCGAATCTCCCGACCAACCCCCGACTGTTTTTAACATTTTGAAACATATGCGGCTGGCTCAGTAGCCGACTTTGCTCCGACCTACACCTACCCATGGTTGCGGGGTGTTCGGCAAGTGTCAGGAGGCCAAATTCATGAATTTTGGACAAGTGCTTAACAGGCAATCTTCTTTCCATTTCTTATTTCTAGCGAGTAAGCAGATGGTGTACGACGTGTACGCCACCACCATCGGCATGCTGGAGGAGTTCGAGGACTTCGACGACCCGGCCGGGCCCGAGGGCAACCCAGAACAAGAGGAGCGAGATCTCGCAGGGAAGTCTCGCGAGACTGTGGGCCAAGGTCCAGACATGATGGACCAATGGGAGGGCGCAGATCAGCACCATCACGGGCAGGGGCGAGCCAAGGCCAAAGGTCCTAACGGCAAGGTCTCCAAGCAGGAGAAAGAACAGCAAGGGAAAGGAAAGAAGAAGAAACGAGACCTTGGTCGCTCCGACGTCAAGATTCCGGACCAGTCACACAAGACAAAACGTGATGTGAGTTCTATTTATTTATTTATTCATTTATTTCAAATGCAAACAACACATTACACAGACTTACAGGCAGCAAGGCTGATATACGTAAGTCAACATAGGGGACAGCATTTAACATTACATATATACACAGCTCGTACACCACAAGGGGCAACAAGTAACACTTCATGTATAAACAGGTACAATCATTCTAAAATTAAAAGAACTGAACAGTTTAGATCTGCATCACACTTCTACAAAAACACCATATAAACTAGGTGCTGTAAATAATTATTACTGCATGTGTGTAAATGATATCAGTTCTGCACGAAAAGTTGTTGAATAATGCACTTTTTGGGGGCCATATTCGGCTATGTGTGACAGGGGCTATAGATGCTTTTCACACACAGCATATTGAAATAAGAATCGTCCTTTTGACAGGTGAAGGCGATCGTCGAGGCGGAGCTGGTGTGTCTGCAGGCCCAGCTGCGCTTCTGCCCCGCGGAGATCCGCGATCAGACCCGGCAGGAGCTCGTGGACAAGACACTCGGGTGGGTGGCCGCGAGAGAAGCGAAGGTAGGAGGACAGGACTTACATCTTACAAGTTTTCACATGCATTTGTATGTTGTATTTGTATTTTCCTGAAGTATAAGTTAAGAAAAATATTTTGTCTTTTCCGGTGCGGTCACATTCGTCTTAGATCACCGTACGATTTTTATGCCATAGAATTTTCTAGCAGGCTGTGCACATGTGCCAGAACCAATTGCAACCGCCTATAAGTACAAGAATCTGCGACAGTCATTTCGTAGCAAGACAGTTGGACACATACACGACAATCAGAATGCCTTTGATTTCTGATCGTACGGCGTATGTGATTGGGCTCTGGTTCTATATCTGTTGAGTTACGGAATGGAGATCTGTAAACGTAAAGATGCTGTCTGAAACGGGACCCCAGAAAGTGCGAAATGGAACGAAATGGAACGAAATGGAACGAAATGAAACGAAATATGTATGAAGGAAAGCCGTTAAGCCGTTCGTATATAGGAAAGCAATCTTGGTTGTAGAATAAAGGAATGAAGAGTATTTATCTTGCTTTACAGGGTCTGAAGAAGGGACTGGCAGACATGTACGCCTCCCAGGTAGTTGAGATCCTTGTGAGCGGAGAAACTAAGCTGCACGTGCCGACTGAGTGGGAGAAGAGGTGAGTTCATTGAAACACACATCGGTCGCTAGAAAAGTCACAGGAGGCAATATTATTATATAAGACGGTATTCGAACTCCCAACCTCTTGGTCCAGAGGCAGGGTCCCTAACCACTGGACTACCCACGCTACTACATGTACGTGGCACTTATTTACAATGGAGTAGGGGTGAGTCAGCTTACTTTGTAAAGAAACGAACAAGTGACCTTTTGTATCGTTCTAAGGCCACAGTAAGTAATTTTTATGAATGGCATTAGCGCGCGCATTAATTTTTGCCTGATTTTGGACAAAAAAATAAATTTTGTTGCCTTCTGACAGAGGTCAACATGACGAAAATGGGCGAAGTTGTCTGTTGCCATGCCGGAAGGTGGATGGCAGATAACTATGAAGAGAGGAGACAAGAAAAGGCTCTAATTTAATGTTTTGTTTCTTACTTTGATGCAGTGATATGTGATGCTGGCTGTGTATATGTGATGTTCCTACTGAATCAAAACCATTTGTACAATGATTGAGTCAAAATGTTGGGACCTCTATATAAGCTTTTTTTCGACTGGCCTTGTTTTTTCGCCCGCTCGTATTATATTTGGCGTCTGCAGAGGATGTCATCCAAAAAATTTACTTGAGGTGGCCTAATGTGTGCAACATAATCCTGATCTGTACGTGTTGTGTCCGTTAGTACCGGTCCCGCTGGTGAAGAGGCCGTGCTGGGCGGTGTGCGGGCCCTGCAGGTGGGACAACACTTCGGCGCCGAGCAGGACAAGCAGTTTCACGACGACCCCAACAAGAAGGCACGGTGCGCCGACATCCGCAGCGGGCCGGTACCGGAGATACACGGTGAGATATCCTTAACATTTAGTGTTTTTGAATTGATTTAGGCCACGTTGATTTGATCATATGGATAACATCCACGCGCGCATGAACTTTCGTCCGTTTAAAAAAAAAGATTCCCCCATACTGCACGTAGGATCTGCAAATTTGATCAAATATGTCATAAATTTGAAATACTAATATTGTAGAATGCCAAAATCAATTCCAAAGGAAAGGAAGAAAATGTGAGGAAATAAAACGTGTATTACTCGCCATGCCATGTGTACTTAGTCATTTGATCAACCTTCATAGATTTCATAATGAAGAAAACTTTTTTTGCCAAACATTTTTATTCGATCGCACGCTCGCATCAGTTTTGGGGTTCACAGAGGATGTCATCCATATAATCAAATCAACAGGCCCAACATGTTTCAAAATGATAGCATTTATCTCCTCAACGTCCTAAACTTAACTTTTTTTCTTTTCCAGGTGCCCAGCGACTTCTGGAGGTGAACCCTAACCTGCGCGAACACTTGGATGGGAGCGACATGCGTTAGAACAATCCCTAACCAGTGAACTGTATTGTTGGCACGTATACACGCTTAGTAAATCTTCACCAATTAATCTAGCTTTATCAGAAAAGTACACAAAACAGTACACTAAAGGTCTAACAAAGTTAAATACATGTATGGATAACTTCGTCCTACGTACAGAATATAAGAAAGTTTATTGCAAATTCTTGCCCGAGGGCTAATTGCATGAACAGAAGAAACATATGGTATAAAAACAGACAACTAGTACACATAGAACTACTGATAACTATTAAGAAACTACTGGTAAAAACCACTGGGTTTGACTTCTTTTTTGAAGACAGAGGAAGACAAAGGATCCCACTTATATATATGTATGTGGCAAATTACGTACAGAATATATATCAGTGGTAATGATAAAGGTCTAACTATTCTCTAACATGTGGTCTCTAAGATTGAAACAACCATTGGTATACTATTGTTATATTTACAAACAGAAATACGTGTGTCTAGTGATGTTTGAAATATATCATGTTGTTCATATAAGCGGAATAAAAAAAGAGAAGAAGCAGATTGTAGAGTAGCGCTGGCTGAAAATATATGTACCAGTTCGGGGGTGTGATTTGAGCATGGGATAAGGTACTTGTATGTTACTAAAATTATACTTGTGTTACTCGCATTGCAGGTGAGGTGTGTAAAACTATCTATAATTCATACTGTGAGATTTAAAACTCAATAAATATATCACATCTTGTACACATGTCTCTTGTGGCTGTTTTATTGGAATCTATAGATTTCAGTTCCTCTTTTTCTCCCATGACGGGGGTACTTTCCACCGATAGACGGAGATCCCCAAGCATCACCACTTTGCTTACAGCCAATAATTTCATTACCCTTAATATCCTATGGTTGTGAAATATCGTTAAAAAGGGACTAGATACATTTTTGTAGTTTGATATTGATGTGAGTAGACTATTTACAGTAGTGCCGAATACAAAAGTCTACTTTGTTTTAGACCCTTCGGACGCGTACGGCGCAACAACTTGTGTTTACCATTGGATGGAAACTGTTAATAGTTCGTAGGCCTCCTCGACAATAAAAGTGAAAGTACCTCAGGTATGAGTCACCGAGAAACCCTGCAGTCCTTCTCAATAGTGAAAGTAGCTCGGGTATGAGTCAGTGGGAAACACCGCAGTGGCTTAGATCCGTAACAGTGTTTACTGTGTAGTGGCGGAGTGTGACCATGTCACCATGACATCACGGGGACTTCCATCCCTCTATAGTTAGCAGGCCTTCTCACTAGCTAAAAAAGCTTGTCTTGACCGATATGAAAATATCAAAGATACTAGAAGATGATTATATGCCCGCACAAGCTCATACCTCATAGCTATAGGACTGCCCTAGCGTCAAGCCTAGGTCACAATTCAAGAAAGGCCTGTTTTTTGGCACTACCGCACGGGACCTGGACGGAGACTGGCGGGCTTCCCGACGGCTGCCGGCCTATTTTTGGCCCCGCGCGGTCGCCTAATCGATTTTAACTCAGAGTTAAAATCACTTCGGGCCCCGTCGGGCAAGGTACGCCGAAGCGACGCCGTAACCTCACCGGACCAAGCCGTAACCTAGCCGCCGTCGACAACAAGGTCACACATGACATATGGTCATTTCAGAAGGATATGTTAGCTATTGACGTCATCTTTACTTGAAACGAATCTTATTTCATTTAATGTCAGAACGCTGTTGCCATGACAACGGCCGCTATGATCACCCTTTATCGTGTGCTGTATTTAACTACTAGTATTATGGCGTTGGGGTTTGTTTTATTTGTTTCGCATAACCGGCAAACCGGTTTTGTGTACATGTAAGTACATTTTTGTATATACTGTGTAAGACTGGACTGTAAGGTTTGAACCCCCCACCCCATGGTAATTGGGATAAAACCAAGTGCATATCACTCAGAACCTTTGGCACAACTTTACATCTTGGTTCGAGTTTACCCAGTCCACCACCGTACGTTGTTTTGCGGTAAGTCCCGAACTCGAACAAAATATGTTGTTCGAGCTCGGGACTTACCACGAGGCACGGTACTTTCCACAGGTTCCTATGGGGATATGGATGACATCATCATGTTTTGGTAGGGCTGTGCACCTGCGAAACTGAAAGCTGCTAACTTCCTCTTTTACAAATTTGCTTGTACTTTTGGGGACGTATGTACACCGCTCCTCACCGCTTCAAGCTTCACCCGACGACAATGCCTACCCGCTACCGCCTGAGAATCCACTGTCCCGTGTCAGGTTGCGAGTAAGTTAATTTTGAATTATAGTAGCTACATCGTAAAGAGTTGCTACGTGACAGTAGCTGTGAAGTGGTTATGTTGTAGACTAGGATATCTAAATGTATATTCAAGGGTTGTGATGTTAGTGTATCTTTGTACAGTCCCGTTTGATTATTTCTCTCCAGAGAAAATCATTAAAATGAACGTCAGGTCTACAAAACTCTGTGTACTTTGAATCCCTTCGTCCCTATACAAACCCTTACTTGTTTAATTGGTTAGTGCGTACTCGAAACATGTAATGTAATTGTAATTGTAATTGTAATTGTAGGAACAAGGACATCTCTGGATGGAGCTGCGCGCAAGACAACGGTGCTGTGTACGTCGACGAGGACGGTTATCTGTCCTGTGAGTCTTACAGTCACCGTGCCGAAATAGTCTACTGGAAGTTTGACTGTGGCTTGAGGGGCCGGGGGAGCCAGCACAACTACGAGAGATATCAGGTAAAACTTCATATTTGCGGTAGAAAATGGCAGTATTTGCACACCAAGGTAATATGTGCATTTTTAACGCTCAAGCAAGGATCACATACGTCTCGTTTACTTGGATGATGATGGTGATCAAAATGCGTTATAGCACACACAAAGAGATGTGAAATAGTGAACTGTTTTTGTGTTTAGATATATGAAGGTGTTTGAATAAGAATAAACAGGGTGGTACCTTGTTGGATAGACCATGTGAAAGTAAACATCATGCACAATTTGCTTTGAAAATGTTACTTTTCTAGTTCTTCCTTTTTATCCAGTATGCAGATTATGAAGGATTCAACCATGCCATGGCCATCGGCCTAAGTCAACTGAAAGAAGCTGGAGCGAAATGGGCCACCAAACTCATTCAGAACCTCGAAAAACAATATACGTATGTCTCAATGTTTTAAAAATTTAATTGCATTCTGTTCCGAAATCACAGAAGAATCGTATATGTCTAGTATGTACAACGACTTACCTAAGCATAATCGGAGACTAAAACATTTGTTGATATATGGCCCTAGCTGCTCGTTCGAACGAATTTGAACGAATCGAATTACATAGATATGTACAAAACAGTTTATCTATCCATGATACATGTAAATAATGCTGTATTAATTGCAATTCTATCACAATGTCTCACCAGATAAGTCATATGGTAACATCTAAATAACAATGAAAAATATATTTGGGCCACCAATGGTGGAGAGAAACACCTTATTTCAGACCTTTGTAGAAATAATAAAAAAGAACGGATAAGTGCAGTAATTATGAATTGAAATCTCTTATTTCCTTATTTTCCTACAGACGATGAGCCTTCTAACGGCTGCTGAGAAGAATCCAAGCCCAAAGAACCACTGAAAAACACCACCAAAGTAGCGATATGTGGTTTCCAGTCATAGACATACTATATATATCCAGGACTATCTAAAAGGCGATACTGCACATATGAATATTCAGCAGCATTAAATATGACAGATTCTTAAGTTCTCACCCATTCCAGCAGACGATATTTAGTAAACTCTTTGTTGTATTTTAAGACAAAAATCATTAGATATTAATAGATACACTATGAAATAAAACAATCATCAACTTGCTGGCCTTACATCAGTGATTTAGCAAAACAAATGCAGCTTTGTCTATCCATGTTGCTGTTACAGTTTTAATTAACCTCCTCTGTTGAAATTGGACGTATTGGAAAATATATCTGTATCGATTGTCACATAAACTGAGAAATAAAATTAATGTTTGTTGGGATATTTTGTCAATTGGATTAATTGAATGTTTACTGAAGTTGATAATATTTTCACAGATGTCGAAACAACAGTGCGATGTGTATAAGTAATTTTACCATACAAGTTTTTTTGCACTGATTAAAGACCTAGACCTGTTTCATTTTATATGCCTGCTTCAACTTTAGAGCGGTACCCGGTGAGGATTAGTTACTGTAACTGAATTTCACCCACTGTTAACATCACACAGCCAGTTCGCAGATTTTTTGTTTGTTTTGCATAACCAGTAAACCGCCTTTAGGCGTAACACACCAGTTTTGTACATGTACAAGCTGCGTAAGACCGGACTGTAAGGTTTGAACCGCTCACACCGGGAAGGACCCCTACTATTTTCGATAAGTGCGGTGGGTTCTTTAACGTGCGTGGGGTGTGGCTCTCCCAAACACGGGACCTCCATTTAACGTCCTATCCGAGGGATGTCCCTAACCGAAGCTAGGTACTCATTACTCAAGTTAGGAAAGTCGTGTAAAGTGCCTTTCCCAAGGGCACAAGATCGGTGACCTGGGCAAAATTCGAACTCGCAACCTCTTGGGTGTGAGCCGAACGCGCTACCGACTGCGCCACACGACCCCAGATTGTTAGTCAAAGTAAACACTTATGTACAAAATCCACCTGTTAACCTTTAGCCAGTAACTTATCGCTCTGTCATTTGGGGGTCAACTGAGGCAGAATTTGTCGTCGTTAGCTCACTGTATTGACTTTTCTTGACATTTGGTGAATTCTTAGTTACATTGTTACCTTTTTTGTAAGCAGGGAGAGCTAGGTGAGTCATAAAATAGAATACTAAAAAAGCGGAACTCCGGATAAAAATAGCGCAAGGGGTTTCACACCGTCAGTATTATGAACATTGAATTCTCATGTAGACGGTGACACAGTTATCCCGTGTCACGGTGTTTTCCACTGACTCATGGGCGAACTACTTTCACTATTGAGAAGACCAATAAGCCACTGAGTATTGGGAATTCCATTTCTGCAAAGCTTTTATGATCATTGAATTGTAGTCTTTAAAAAAAAACTGCCACCATATAATTCTTCCAATTGACTAAATGCTAACGGTTACAGCATAGTAGATTCCGTTTCGCGTGCATGACCAAAACAGACCCCTCATTTGTTGTACCCGCCAGTACGGTTTCGTACCACAAAAACGGTGACTCAGGCTTGTCTCACAATAACGCTGACGTGACTGAGTAGTTATCTCCAAGCAGATCTTTCGGGTGGGGGGGGGGGGGGAGACAGTATCAAATTGACCAGTCTGTATGCATTTGGGTGGGGATATGCATACAGACTGGCCAAATTTGATACTGTCTTCCCCCCTCCGAAATATCTGCTTGGAGATTAATTGAGTAGCACTTGCATTTTCAGTAGGCATGCGCACTGTTGCTGGTGTATGGTTCTGTGTGGAGATCAATTAGCTTATAAAACAAATGCGTTAGATTTCGTCGTCACTAGGTCACTGTATTGACTTATCTCTGTCTTGACATTTGGTGAATTTCTAATTACATTGTTACCATTTTTGTAAGCAGGGAGAGCTAGGTGAGTCATAAAATAGAAGATGAAAAGCGGAACTCCAGATAAATATAGCGCAAGGGGTTTCACACCGCCAGCATTTAATATGAACATTGAATTGCTCATGTAGACGGTAAACACTGTTGTCCCGTCGTCACGGTGTTTTCCACTGACTCATCATGGGCGAACTACTTTCACTATTGAGAAGAAAAACAAGCCACTGAGTATTGGGAATTCCCATGATATATTTCTGCAACGCTTTTAAGCTTATTGAATTGTAGTGTTATAAGCTACCATCATATCTTTCTTTCAATTGACTGTACGCTACAGCAGATTCCATTTCGTGTTGAAATTTGTCACCAAAACAGACCCCTCATTTGTTGTACCACCCAGTACGGTTTCGTACCATGAAAAAGGGTGATTCAGGATTGTTCAAACAATAACGCCGACGTGACTGAGTAGCGCTTGCATTTTCAGTGTGGAGACCAATAAGATTGTAAAGAAATAGAAAAAACAGTCAAATTAAATTCGTCAAGCTTGCAACGAGAAGATTAAAAAAGCGGAACTCCAGATAAAAATAGCTCAAGGGGTTTCACACAGCCAACACTATGGACATTGCTCATGTGGACTGTAAGGCCACACCGACTTAATTTTATGGATGACATCCGCGCGCGCATTGATGTTCAATCCTCATAAGAAAAAAGATCACGTCCTCCGAGGCTCTAGCCTGCCTTTAGGCCTATGGCCTGGGTAGTCCATGTTAGTAAGCGACAATATTGAGCTGGCGGTAACTCTGGAGGACGGCACCCAAGCTCCACGACTCCAGATCTCAGTACATACGTACAGCGACGATTCATAAACTCCTCAAAAAGCCATTATGTGCCGGCTTGTCGTCTACGTCGCTATGTACTGCCGCAAATTCACAGTACCAGCCTTTTATTCCTGTGGTTTAGCAGCATTTTTATTTTTGGCCAGAATTTCTTTTATTCGCCCGCGCGCACTAGTTTTGGGGTCTTCAGAGGATGCCATCCATAAGATTAAGGCGGTGTGGCCTAAACACTATACAGTAATCCTGTCGTCACGGTGGTTCCCACTGACTGGGCAAAATACGACCAACAAGCCACTGAGTAGTGGGAATTCCCATGATATATTTCTTCAAATATTTCTAAGCTTATTGAACTGTAGTGTTATAAGCTGTTATCATATATTTCTTTTAATTGACTGGATGCTACAGCAGATTCCATTTCGTGTTAAAATTTGTCACCCAAACAGACCCTTCATTTGTTGTGCCCGCCAGTATGGTTTCGTACCACGAAAGACGGTGACTCAGGATTGGTTTTACAATAACATTGAGTAGCACTTGCATTTTCAATTTTAGTAGGCACGCGCGCTGTTGGTGGTGTGGGGTTCTGAGAACTGCATGAGTTCGAATGCTGACTGGCACAAAAAAACCAACTTGGAGTCATAGTTTTACCCCGTGTCGAATGCACTTCGTTGAAGTAAAAAGAAGAAAATATTTCACTGTTATACATGTGGTATGGAGTGATATAAAATCAAAATCAGAACATGAACAAGTGAAAAAAAAAATCAAATACACCCAGACTGCAAAACCCTATAATGTATACAAGGGGCTTTCCACACACGCAGTTCTGTTCCTAACTGGCTGATACAATAGTCACCCTGTACGGATCACCCATCTGTCATTACTAATGGGGTGTCCCCGGCTGACTAGCGAAACTATCGGCCGCCACTAAGCGTTTTTAGTCAAAATTGGACAGGCTCTGAGTTCTCAGTCTGCTTGATTCGCGAAAGCTATACCAGAAATCCTACAGCATGTCTGGACCGATGGTCTATGTCACCACTAAAACCTACGACGTCGCCACCAAACGGTGGGGTGAGCGGCCGACCATCCTGTCCATGGACGACCGTCCGTTCGCAGAAGGCGGCATGCGGAAAGCCTACAGCGCCAAGGACTGGGGCCTGCTCAAGTCGTCTTGTCACCCTAAGGTGGTGAAGCTGCAGCTGCACAAAAGCTACACCAAGGCCGAGGCCGAGGCAGACGTCAAGATGCAGATGAAATGCGTGGTTCTTGCTGAAGAGTACAACAGCTACAGCTGCATACCTAAGAAGGTGGGACGTTCGATTGATTTTTTTGTCCGTCCAGATGTATATTCATAGTATCTTGAAAGAACTGGGATGACGTATCATCATGTATTATCTAACTGTTATAATATCTCGGCAACAAGTTGCACTACTATAATCTCAACTTTTGAACAAAAGATGCCAAAATGTTTCCTGCTAATTTTGACTCTTGTTTGAACTGTCAGCAAGGGCGCTGTCTTAGGTGCGTGTAGGACGTGTTGGTTCTGTCACAGCATGCTTAAAACTTCTACGGCATCAGAATTGCACCACCAATGTTATCTAGCAACAACTGACCGAAACTATCGCTTGTCTCTCTGTCCAGGTATCGTTCTGCAGCGCCCAGCTGGTCCAGTTCCAAGCCGGGCCGCACGCGGGTCAGTACGGGCTGCTGGAGGACTACCTCCCGGGCACGTTCGAGAAACACAACCTCAACTTCCCCATGGCTCCGCTGTCCGCCCGCAACACCCCGCAGGCCTTCTCACACTTCACGTTCGAGCGGACTAACGGCAGGATGGTGGTGTGTGACGTACAGGGGGTGGGGGACAGGTACACAGACCCGCAGGTGAGTGGGGGTGAGTAGGGATGAGTAGGGATGAGTAAGGGTGAATAGGGGTGAGTAGGGGTAGGAAGGGGTGAGTAGGGGACAGTTACACGGACCCACAGGTGGGTTGGAGTGAGTAGGGATGAGTAGGGATGAGTAGGGGTGAGTAGGGATGAGTAGGGATGATTAGGGGTGCGTAGGGGTGAGTAGGGATGAGTAGGGATGAGTAGGGGTGAGTAGGGGTGAGTAGGGATGAGTAGTTGATGAGTAGGGGTGAGTAGGGGTAAGTAGGGGTGAGTAGGGTACAGGTACACAGACCCACAGGTGAGTGGGGGACAGGTACACAGACCCACAAGTAAGGCAATGTCGATGTTCACTATTTAGTTTGTTGCCTAGCTCTATATATACATGTACAAGTACCTACAACCCTTCATTCTTTATGATAATATGGTTTTGACTACAATAAGTCTGTCAGAAAAAGAATTCAAACTACATGTAGAAAGAACATTAGGGAGCCATACCCGTTAAGAAAGTACTTAAGATATGTAAGGTGAATTGAAAAGAAATGAATGTAGATTTTAGATAATCATTATTCATTTTCATCAAACATAGTCTTAAATAAATGGGTTTGGGAAACAAGTAAAGGCTGTTATTGTCTTGGTACAACATTCCAGAGAAATTTTCGATAACGGTTGTTCCGCCTTCTCAGATCCACTGCATGGATGACGATCTGCAGTACGGCCAGGGGAACTTTGGTGCGCACGGGATTATCTCATTCGTCAGGAACCACAGGTGTAACTCCATCTGCCGCGCCCTGAAGCTCACCCCGATCAACCAGTTACCGCACAACTGGGGCTCCCCGGCCGGCAAGGTAGCTACAGCACCCGTCCCGCGGTACTACTGAGGGCCGGTGTTCTGAAAATTCTGGTCAGGGTGAAAAAAATCAGTCCGGGCCTAAAAGTACGAAGGCCCATATAATTGAATTGAATCTTTAATTGCATGTTCATGCCTATCGGGCTAAATGCATACATCAGAGTGCGATGTTACATGTACATCATACTGAGTAACATGATACATAGGATACAAGGATAACAGAATAATGTAAAAGTCTTAACAACTACTAGAGAATAAACTAATCTAGGCCTTGAATATAAATAAATTCCAATCAAGGCGACTGTAACTACATGTAGGTACTGTATTTGTAGCGCTACACACAGCTTTGCCTGCATTGAAGTGCGATTGTACAAAGTTAGTAGATCATAACTTAACACTATACACTATTCCTTTACTGTTAGAATATTCAACTGTAATTTCTAAACATAAAAAAAACTTACGTCTCCACAAGGAACCTCCTTAAAACGATTCTAGATCTGGCAGACTGTTCTCATTTTATCAATGAAAAATTCACCAATGTATCATTAGGCCACACCAATTTAATTTCTTGGTTAACGGATTCGCCCGCTTCATTTTTTTTCTGATTTGCAAATAAAAATAAAAATTCAGAATCAACTGCAAAATGCTCATATTTTGCCCTGAACAGTTGAAAACAGTCCTTTTCATCCTAGTTGTTACAGTTATATATATTCCACCTTTCAATGCAATGGTATCATTAAAAGTTCAAAATTCATTGTTTAAATTTTGAATCAGCCTGGTGTGTTGACTTCATGGCTCCTATCGTACCATTTTGGGCCATAATAGGATGCCTAGGTCTTTTTTATTTTAATTTTTTTTTCGCCCGCCAGCTCCATTATTTTTCTAGAAATTAAATTGGTGTGGCCTTATAGCCTTACAATAACGGTCATGGTACGTTCGCAAGTTGAATGCATTCTTGGTGTACTCATGCATGTGCACATGTCCCGCAACATGCAGTTGTGTTGTTACAGAAGAGCCTGTCTTAGTCTGAGGTTGTTTATGTCACAGAATGCTTGAAAATCCTACGACAAAATCGTACGATGGTCTACGATGAAAATGTAATGTCAAATGGGAAAAGTGACCAAAGATATCGATGTCTTTCTCCCCAACTTCTGTACTTAACGTGTTGTCAAGATTGATGTAACCTAACCTACAGTTATGCGTACTAAAGTTTCCTTATATATTGATATACACACGTACTTCTTAGTTCACATGTTTTATATAGAGACTAGATATCAAATATGGAAGTGCAATAACTATGTTAGAACATTATTAAAATGCACGCTTATTGTAAGGAGAGCTACCATCATCTCTTGAGTGGTTATTTTCACACACTTAATCATTGTGTTTAGGACACGTCACAGTTATATGTACGCGCAGAGACAATGAATAAATCAAAAATTTATAGCACAGCGATTGTAGCCGGTGTAATATATGAATGAATGAAGACCTTTATTGTACACACATACCCACTGGGTTAAGTACAGGTCACAACACAAGGATGGAATGGCTTTTCATCCCCTCCCATTTAAGAATAAAGCCGGTGTCACACAGTCCACAAGTTTCGGCCATATTTGTTGATCGCTGGAGGTTCACAAAAAACTTTAAGCACAGAGTTGAGCGTGCTTTCCGTCCGAAAGTCTACCCTGACAAGTTATAATTATATTATTTATTGGTTTATTTGTTGTATCAACATATCGACAACATATCTCGCAGCCATGACATACAGGGCTGAATTCAGATCAAGTTGTTTACAATATAAATTATTAATATTAGGAGGGAAATACAAATTACAATCATATCGGAATCTACATATTAATATATCACGTGCACTTTGGATCGAAAATTAGGTATTTACAATCTTACTATCGTACAAACTGTGACAATCTTACGTCGTAAAACCCTTATACATGCACCTGTATCACTTAAGTTTTAACATATATGTAGAAGATTAGTCATAATAAATAAATAGATAAATCATCGTCGTAAATCAATTCCTGTGTCACAATAAAGTAGTGGTCAGTGAAACTTGTGGTGCTATTACATATTTGTGCTGTTTAGGAGGGATACCATGTAAGGGATGGGACCTTTTTTGTATCTGTCAGTCCTAGTTGTGATTGTTGTTGGACGTGGCTCGGTGACCTGCGAACATGGGCCGCCATGAGTGACGGTGGTATGAACTATGGCAAAGCGTCTGCGTGGTTTCTTCGGGATGATACACTATTGTACAGTACTGGGCCATGCGCTGACAGCATACTCTCCAATCAGAGGTTGTGGGACAATGATCGTTAGCTTTTCATATATGGCCGTTTTTTTGTCGCTACCCCCACCGTCGGTGGCCGGCGACCTTCTCTGGCTAATGGATACTGCCTGGCCAATTTCATACTGTCTTTTGCTTGGAGATTACTGACAGCACAGTTCAAAACACACCTGGGCTGGCTGCCCAATTGTGTCAAACGGGGCCTCCCCAAAATGACTCACCTTACCAACGGCATATAGTGAGCTTTGCTTTCAACCTTCGCCCATTGTGTAACACACTAGATGACCTTCATCCCGATAGACTAGTCTCTACCAGACTAACTACGCTGGCTATATATAGGAGACTAATTGCCAGGGGAGTTTGGTCGCCTTGTAGGTTTTACTGGCCGCGGAGGGAAAGAAACTACCTCCCCGCGGCCGGACTCCCTTGGCCAATTTTACTCTCTTTTTTTGCCGAATTCTACGATCCGTATTCCCGTAGAAAGGCCTGGTGGAGGCTACCCGATAGACTAATACACATACAGACCTGTAGCGTTAATCTTTATCATAAATGTGTGTTTAACATTCTGTTGTCACTAGACAGCAAACACAGTTATCGATCCGAGAAGTCTCGGTGTTTCCCATTGACTCATACATGAGCTAGCCTGAGTACACCACACTTCTAGCAGCCGATCTATTGGGGTCCTTGGTCGGCTGGTGTTGGGGGAATGTTCTGAATGTGTGACAGGGGCTTGAGTGATATATATTGTGTAACACCTGGCATAATACCCTATCGCGAGCTACTTTCACTATTGAGAAGGAATGCATGGTTTCTCAGTGACTCATACCTGAGCTACTTTCACTATTGAAAAGGCCTGGAGGATTTTAAAATAACGTAGAAAACATGCCTCAGATGCTTGTTTCAGGAGTATGAGCTACTTTCACTATTGAGAAGGCCTGGAGGATTTTAAAATAACGTTTCAGGAGAAATGTTTAAACGTACATAAACTGCACAGACGTCGAGACCTTTTCATTTTTAAAACATGGCCAGTTTAATGATCATAAATCTTTAATTGCATGTTCATGCCCATGGGGCTAAATGCATACATCAGAGTGTGATGTCACATGTACATCATACTGAGTAACATGATACATAGGATACAAGGATAACAGAATAACATAAAAGTCTTACCAACTACTAGAGAATAAACTTATCTGTCAAGAGCGTTAAATGATGACAAGAAGTATAAGATTCTTATCGACATGAAGTCGTCGCTTTTCTGAATCTTAAGTAGTTAGTTCAACTTTATACAAAAGGATGAGAGCTCGTTTACGTATACATTTTTTGCGCTTAGCAGTCCTATAATTAGCGCAAGGTTAAATATACAGTTGAACCCAACATGTGAACACAACAGTGCAATCTTAAAATTTCCACACGAGTACAACTCGCGATCGCCATATAGAATCATAACGTTTGCTGTACATGATTACACAATGTCTTGTACAAAGCGAGCGACGAAAAGAAACCATACACCTCAATGGAAAAAACTTAGGATCTATCCATTCTAAGGAACTGATAATATCTTGTACATTATAGTAATATAGTAGTCGTGGGAATGCATCATTCTGCGTATGGATGCTGATATTATATTTTACATATTTGAACGTAATGGTAAAATTAGTAAACAGGCTAAACTGAACTAGTACAGAACAAAAGTATTGGCTATATAGCGACATCTTTTCACATGGAACCCTACAAAACTGACTACAGTTCTATATCAATTGTAGTGTATCTGATTGGATGTCCCTCCCCAGTCGTTAGAAGTCTAGCGATCTCCGTTTCTGCAAAAAAATGAAGAAAAGAAACCTGTCAATGAGGATAGCTGACTGTTCATTAGTCATTTGTAATATATATGTATAAACATTTTTCTCATTTCTTTTTTTTCAAATATCAATTTCGACACATTGCTCGCTGTGTCCAAATTGCATACATATTTTAAAGCTATGCCGATTGGAATGCCCATGCAACGTACTAGTACCTAATACATGTAGTGGGATTTGGGAATGATTAATTTGAATTTTCCTTATGATACAATGGAGTCAAAACAGGTAATAAAGTTTGCATTAAGTCTTCCCACTAACTTGTATTCCCGTCAAATTGAATAATCTACAACTGTGTTAAGAATCGAGAAGAAGTTGAAACTGTACATAGTTGTCCAACCAGTAGGTAGTAGCACACATCAGTATGTATTGTGAGATATCTTTCTTTTTTTTAACGGAGTAGTTCAATGCAAGGCCTATGCGACCACTTCTCTGCATTGAATTGAAAATATAAGAGAAACGTGGCTATGTCAAGAGATGGCGGTGAACGTTTGATTTGAAAGCCTGTAGATTGTAGGTTGGTGGGAAACACTTGTCAAGGAGAGAATTCCAAAGCTTGGCCGTACGGGGATAGAAACTGTCACTGTAAAAAGATTTCGAACAAGGAATTTGGACGGTGAAGTTGTGTGTGATAGTGGAGAACCTAGTGGAACGCTTAAAAGTTCTGAGTGGTGGAACTAGTTGGGTGAGTTCTGCATATCTCTGTAAATATTGTAAAGTGAGATATATATGTGATTTATACATGGCTTAGCCTGGAAGAGTGTACATGTAAATGTACAATCATTCTTTTTATTCATTATTCTGTAGTTTGGCAGAAATGCAGTAAACGTTCGCAGCACGAAAACAGCCATTTAAGCAAACTTTCCGCAATATGTAAAGAAGTATTAAAGTTTAGAAAATATTTCAGTAGACTTTACGACTTCGTAAAGGCTGCTGAAAGGTAAATTCCGCCTTTCCGTCACCTTTACGCTTCCTTTGCAAATCCGTAAACAAAAAGTCAAGACCATAGCTTGTTCTGGACAAAAGATACAAAAACCGGAATTTCTGCTGCAGTACCAAGGTCATCCACCAGGAGGCCCATACTTGACCTTGACCTTTGTCTTTCCAAGACTGACCATCATACCAAATATCATCACAATCCATAAAGGCGTTCTGAAGTTATGCTGACTACAAAGTTGCGGAAACACACACAAACAGACACACACAGAGACAGACACACACACAGACAGATACACACACATACATACAGACAGACACGCCAAAAACAATACCTCCATTTTTCATGGAAGTAATAACGTTGTCTAGATACGTACATAAACTGATTCTCGACGCTCTGTATGAGTTTGGTGACCCAGACGGCTCCCGCTTCCTTCAAATGAGGCAGTCCGATAGCCATGGCATGGGAGAACCCTTCCAGATCTGCTGACTGGGCAGAGATAGAATATATAATTAGATCTGTATAGCCGGTATAACCGCCCTTCGGCGTAACACACCAGCTTCTGTATCTGTATAGCCGGTATAACCGCCCTTCGGCGTAACACACCAGCTTCTGTATCTGTATAGCCGGTATAACCGCCCTTCGGCGTAACACACCAGCTTCTGTATCTGTATAGCCGGTATAACCGCCCTTCGGCGTAACACACCAGCTTCACAGGCACGCGGTGCGGCGGCAGCGGGCTACATTACACTGAACGACTTGTTACACCTAACCCTTGAACACCTAACTCTAAACATTGTATAAAGCTATCTAATGACAATGCCCCCACTGTACTTGGTGACAGCGAGTTCAACTCTTTGGTAGCTCTAGGAAAGAATGTTTCTGAACACCTCAATCCTTGGTTGATAACTCTGGCACTTGAGGGCACGAAGGGCACTATCTATCTATTAATCATTAATAATTCAACCATTCAATAATTGTGTGATTTTCGATCCTTGTCAACTATCGCATCTTCACAAATGACACCGGTGTATCAAAACGCATTTTTCTTGTGATTATGAAATGTTACCTGATATCTCTCGTAGTTGTGTTTGCTCCCTGAACCCCTCTCACCACAATCGAACCTCCAGTAGATGATTTTGGCACGGTGGTTGTTTGAGTAACAGGACAGATAGCCGTCCTCGTCTACATACATAGTACCGTTGTCCCGTGCGCACACCCACTGGGAAAGCCTGGACCTAGAAAATGACGAAAATGAAAGGAGTTTCATTAACAGATTATATAAAGGACGATACAGAAAGTAAGTTATTTCTGGTTAGTTATTTAAAGTATATGATAAAATTAATACTAGTAGATGAATATAGATAATTATTTCTGGTCATCTATTTGTAAATAGATAATTATTAAGTCAAAACTTTATAAAATGCTTTACATAAATGACCAAATTTAAAAATCGCAAATAAGTGGCTTTCAAGAAGTGGAGGTACCAAAAAATGACACCTTACGAGTGTGTTTAAAAGCTGGAAACACAGCTGTCAGCCATGTTTGTTTACAATCTGGTAGTTTGTGGTGGTACCGCAAACTAAGTGGGCCTTGTGTAGGCTGTTTTAGCTAGCGCCATCCATAAATGCCCGAGAATTGTAAGATGATTACAGAAATATATCACAAAGTGTAAGTTACTACACAATTTCGTCATCATTTCCTAGTTAAAAAAATGTTGATATAGCCCCAAACAAGCGAAAATGAAAGCTATTTGGCCTTGTTGTATCGACGGTATTCATTCACTTCTGTCTGTTTCTGTATAGCCGATAGAATCGCCCTTCGACATAACACACCAGCTTCTGTATCTGTATATATATCCTGTTTAACCGCCTTTCGACGTGACACACCAGCCTCTGTATCTGTATAGCCGGTATAACTGCCCTTCGGCGTAACACACCAGCTTCTGTATCTGTATAGCCGGTATAACTACCCTTCGGCGTAACACACTAGCTTCAGCTTCTGTATCTGTATAGCTGGTATAACCACCCCGTTTGGCATATGCATACTCGTAACACACCAGCTTCTGTATTTGTATATATAGCCGGTACAACCGCCCTTATTATAATTCGGTGTGAACACTAGCCCACAGATGGTATTAAAGCTCCTCACAATTCAGTCCTTGGCTGCAAGGAGAGAGTAGTAGCCGGCCTACTTAGAAGAAATCTAGGTTGTACTTACTGTCCCGCGCACCCTGAGATAGGGCAGGGGATCTTCAGAACGTAGCGAGTAGGCATTGTCGTCGGGAGACACTTCACTGAACCACCGGTAAGCTGCAACTGAGAAGCGGCGTACCCCGAGCACCAACTATACAAGCAAGTGACTATTTTAATAAAAAGGGGGAATTCTAGATGTAGCGTCAGGGGGATTTTCCAGTGATTCAGTCGTGGCACCGAAACCTCGGTGATTTTAATTGCGACATCTCAGAAACCCCCTCAGTATCAGAACCCTGGATTCGGGGAAGCACCCTATTCTGTAATCTGAAAAACGGGAAGTTTAGACCTTTCAGTTTCGCAGGCGAGTGAGTCACGCGGTGGAAATACCCAAACAGTACATTAAACGGGGCGGGGCGAGTGCCTGACCCGGACAAAACATAACATTATGTCATTGACATCCCCATAGAAACTATGGAAAGTACCGTGCTTCGCGGTAAGTCCCGAAACCTAACAGGACACGGCATTGGACCGGGCGAGACTCCAGACTAGCTTTCGGCGCTTGGGAGGCAGGAGAAGGGGGAGACTCGTGAAAAATGAGCTCGGGCAGCACCTTCTACTCGGGCTATAGCGACGGTAAGTCATGTTCAATGCCTCTGATGTTTGGATTATCCAAGCTCTTCGTAATTTGTGATCGAAACCGATCTTTTGAGCACTTGGTTTCAGTTGTATGGGGGCCCGCGAGCCCTTTTCCGTAGAGCGTAATCGGCCGTTTTAATTCTACGTAGAGCGTAGACGGACCGCTCTAATATTTTTGCGTGGAGCGTATTCGGCGTTTTAATTCTACGTAATGCGTTGTAGCCGCTTTGAATTTATCGTAAAGCGTAATCGAGAGGTTTCCTAATTCAGCGTAGAGCGTTGTAGGGACCCCCCCCCCTTGCAGGCCCTGTTGTATGTACCATAGCTTGACAGGAAATCTTCATAATCTGTGTCGATGGCTGATAGCTTGCTCACCGATACCTACCTTGTACCTTGGTCTCTTAACCCAGGCCAGGGTCGTGGGGGCACTGTAGCCTCTACCAGGCTTCGGGAGGTGGCTGGAAAGAGTAGAAATCGCGGCCAAATAGAGAGATAGCATGCCAAGGGAGCGGCAAACTGTTATCTCCAGCCAACCAAACTCCCTTGGCATGTTATCTCTCTATTTGGCCGAGTTCTACTCTTTCCAATCGCCACCCAAAGCCTGGTAGAGGCTAGAGGCACTGCATAGTGGAGTGTCTGGCCCACTGATAGTTCAATATTATTATTATTACTGTTGCTAGACCATCGGGGTAGAGGAGAGAGGGACCGGGAACTTCGCACCACAGGATCATATGGAGCACGGACAGGTCAACCGGCTAGCCAAGCATACACTGGTAGCCATGGCAGCAGCCGCCAAACAAGCACGGTATCTACTTCATTTTAAAACCCAGCACAAGAGCTACCTACCATCCAAATTTCGTCACCCTAGCATGTCTAGATAATGAGATATCAAAACCGGAAGTTCAGCTGCAGTACCATAACAAGCCGCTAGGGGGTCCGAAATCTAATAATTTTTAGGTCTCATGAAGACCTACCCACCTACCAAGTATCGAAACAATATCCATCAAAGTCTTCTCGAGTTATCGTGTTTACAGACGGACGGACACATACACGAACGCCTCTGAAAACATAACCTTCTTGGCGAAGGTAAAAATCGCTGTGTTGCTTTTTTAGGACCAAGAACCACAATATGCCGAGTATTAGGCTAGTACTAGTGTGGTGAAGAAATTTACACCCCATGTTTTGTCAGTTATTCCAAAGTCCATCAGTAGTATAAGAACACTTTGAAAGGTTTGGCGTCGTGTGTTTACATGTGTTTACATGCTGCGTTAATTCCGCATTAAACAGATGACTGGCAGACGCCATAATGAGTACGACACCGTCCAAGAACAGCCCGGTGGCGCCCTCTACCGGGAGCAGCACGGTAACTACAGCTGGTCGGGAGGGAGCTACGCACCGCAGAGAACGGAGCAGCGGCATCGGTCCTTGCAAGGTCAGTGCCGCCTCCTATCGGGTGGATGTAGAATTGCATGAAGCTGTAGCTGAAGCTTCGCACAACTGCCACATACTTGGAGACTGAAAAGTTGCAATTTTGGCTTTGTCCTGCTATCCAGTACATGTACTACTACTGCCGGGTACGGCCACCCACAATACCCAAGTGTTGTGGGTGGCTGTTTTTGGTTTTGTGTATCTGTTTGTCCAGAAAGAAAAGGTTGATAGCACGTGGGTGAGGGAAGATAGAATGACAGGAGGTCAAAGATCTCAGAGTCTGACCGGGAGCCAGCAGGCATGGGGGGAATTCAGGAAGCAGAGGATTGCCTACTTGCGGGGAGTCTAAAATCGCGAATCTATTCCTTGTTTTTGTTTTTTTTACACATTTTCTTGCGCTATAACTGGCTTCATAATGACATTTGGGGAATAAAAGATCTACATCGTTGCGCCGAAAAAACGTATTGAAATCTGTTCGAAGATACCCGAACAAAAACCGCTGTTTGTTTACATTCTTTTTAGGAGCCTACTAAAAATATAGCGGGCCTGGCGCAACTTATTCTCGCGCTGTGCTGAGTCGCCGGAAAATCAGCGAAATAGCGACGCTGTTCAAAGTTATTGGAAATGAGTAGTCTAGATGAAAAAAAAAATCAATTATTTATATTTACAGTTTTGGCGCAAAATTGGTCATACCATCGCTTCAAGTGAACATTTTAATTGATAAATTGGTGATCAATTGATCGATTCTTGTTCTTTCAGCCAGCAAACAGATGCTGTACGACGTTTACGCACAGAACATCGGTATGCTGGAGAAGCTGGAGAAACGAGAAGAGGGCGGCGGGAAAACAGGTGGTCGTCTGGACGGGACCAGACCGTCTCATCACACCGGCGTTTCCACGAGGAGCGGCTCCTATGGCTCCTACAGGGATCCACCGCGGCACGAGACGTCCCGTTGGTCTGGCGATCGGGAGAGGGAGAGGGCAGACGCCGTGGGACGGACAGGGCGAGGTTTGGGACGGTCAGATGTGACTTTACCCGACCAGTCTGACAAGACGGAAAGAGATGTAAGCAATGTTTCTAGTACTGTACTCTACTCAGTTCAAAAGCGGTGATCATTTTGACCATGAAGTTTGATTGATCACCTTAAATTTCGCTAGTACAAATTTTACTCAGGTGAAAATGAGTATATCTGTTGTCCGTTCATGCGTTTGTCTGCGTTGGTGGCGGCACGGAAATAAGTTGTGTCCTGTCGCCATGTCTTGTAATATAAATGAAAAAAAAAAGAAAAGAAAAAATGAGTTTGTGTCTCTCCAGCTGAAAGCCGTGATGGAGGGAGAGCTCGCCTGTCTGCAGGCCCAGCTGCGCTTCTGTCCGCCGGAAGTTCGCGATGAGACCCGGTCCGAGCTCGTGGAGAAAACGCTAGGTTGGATCGCCGAAAGAGAGGAGAAGGTAAATTTTAGCCTCTACTCTACCAGGCTTGGGGAGGCGGCTGGAAAGAGTAGAAATCGGGCGAAAAAAGAGAGATAACATGCCAGGGGAGTTTGTCTGCTGGGAGAGAACATTTTGCCGCATCTGGGTGAGTAGAACATTTGCCGCAACTGAGTGCGACAAAATGTTCTCTCCCAGCAGACAAACTCCCCTGGCATCTCATCTCTCTATTTGCCCGATTTCTCCTCTTTCCAGCCGCCTCCCGAAGCCTGTAAGACTTAGGGATACGGCTGAAGAGTTAGGGCGCTGGGCGTCGTAGGATTTTCAGGCAGTCTTTGACTGACTTGGCTACCTCGTCAGATATGTCCAGTGAAAGCTATTCTACCTGAACTGTTTCGTCGTGTGCACGAATTTAATTCTTCATATACTATGATCTAAGACAACCTTTTCTGTAATAAAACATTTTTCATCTCAAGAACCTTCCCTCGGTCTGCAATCGTGCAACGATCGTACGGCGATCGTATGATGCCCCAAACGTGTTGTAATGTTTTCCTACTCCGATGTTGTGATATAAATTGTTGTGATTGATGTATTATTTGTTTTCAGGGCGTGAAGACAGGCATGGTGGATAAGTATGCATCCAACTTGTTGGAAACGCTGCTGACTGGCGAAGCTAGACTCGGTGCACGTGACACTGGCAGACACAGGTTTGTTTGTTTGTTTGTTTGTTTGTTTAGGATCTCCATTTAGTGTACACTACTGTTCCTGGAGTCCGTAGTGAATATATATATCTTATGGTATTCGTAATTGTTCGATATATTTTTAGTGTACATATGGTAGATATTTTAGCGCCCTTGCGTTTTTTTTTCTTTCACACTCCGTTGCCGTGAATGTTTTTTTTTTCTTGTTTGCTATTAAACCTTGAAGGTCGAGCCCAGCTGGTGAAGAAGCGATCCTAGCGGGCGTGGGTGCACTGCAGATCGGGCAGCATCGCGGCGCCGAACAGGATCGGCGTTTCCATGACGACCCGACTCGGAAGGCTCGGTGCCCGAAGATCCGGACTGGGAACAAAGCTGACGTCTACGGTAAGAAAAAGAAAGTCAATGGTTTTAGAGGGATGGGTAGATTTATTTTACAGCTATTAAGCCCTATATACCTGTAGCCACTACCAGGATTCAGAGGCAACAGGAAAGAGTAGAAATTGGACAAATACACAGATAACATCATGCCAGAGGAGTTAGTCTGGATCACTGCAGTAGTAGAAGCAGCTTTGCCAATATTATGGTGCAGTCCTTCATTAAACTGCTAGAGGCCGCTTTTGATCCATGACTTCACCTTCATCATTGTCAATCACAACGTAAACTTGTAACTTTGTAGCTTGGTTTCCAGGAGTACTGTTCAAGGCGGCAAACTGCACTCATTTAGTGGACCAGCTCCCTAGCTGGCATGTACATGTATCTGTCTATTTTGCAATTTCTAGCCGCTTCTGTCTGAAGCCTGGTAGAGGCTAGCATTTTGTGGTGAAGGCCTCGCCAGTAGTAAAATGTTCTCTCACAGAATTTCCAACTGTGTGTGTTTTCTTGTTTGCTAGTTTTACTACATTCTCGTTCGGATTGTACCTACAGGACCCAAGCGAGTCATTGCTGTGAATCCTGGTCTTCGCACCCATTTGGATGGAACTCGGTACTGGTCAGGGAGCCAGCGTTAAACCGGGTGTCGACGTCGGACGACTCAGACCATTACCAACTCGGTCCAGTTAACTCGGCCCAACACCCTGGTCAACTCGGCCCAATATCGGAGGCAGATTTAATAGATGGCCGAGTTGACCAGCGCGGTGGTCCGAGTTAACCAGACTTGCGATGGGCCGAGTTGGTAATGGTCCGAGTCGTCCTGACTCCCTGCGCTAAACCCAGCAGCCGTTAGGGGTCGCTTTTGCGTCACTCAGTGTGTTCATGTCGTCCTCATATACTAGTACATATTTGGTGGATATACATACTTACATACATATTAAATATAAACACATAAGAATTGTGTACTACATTAAGAAAAGTCTTTAGCTCTTCCCCAAATCCTGTTATTGACAAGAATGTACGTACTTCATTTAGAACTATATTTTGTTGGCTGTAATGTTGAAATTTTTCGTTTTTGTTTGTATGGCTAGTCCCTCAAGTTGAATAAAATAACACTCATGCAAGTGTACCTGTCTCTTTTGGTTATTATTTATAACTGGTAGACAGAATAAACATATTACAACTGTTGAACAAAATGAGATACTACGGTAGGTTTTATTAGGTCTTTGTCTATTCTCTTCTACCGTTTTTTTGTCTACCCTATAGCGAGATCAAAAAGGGATGTCCTATGATCTTTCTACCTGATAAAACTAGGGTGGGACACATTAAAGGACAGACGCACAGCAAGTACTCACATTACTACAAAAAGCAAGACACTTAAAAACAGCCCTTCCGGTCAAAACCCTGTTGACGCCTATCCCGCGCCAATCGCGACACTTCAACTCCAACTCATACAAGCCACTAACATTTCATAAAGACTGTTACAAATATTCATACTTTCCACAAACTGTCAGAGACTGGAACACTTTGCCTCAAGAAATAACCGGATACTGCGGAACCTACGAAGTTCAACGCTGCAGTACAACACCTGAGGACGCAGCAATAACGCATCGCTAGGCTCCCCTGCACGCTTTACCCCAATCTAGGGGTGTTGTGCAGTATCCAAACAAGAACAAGAAACTATGTTTCCTAAGACGTTGACAATCTACAAAGCAGATCTTGTGGTGTCTGCAACGTTAACATAGTATCAAACTGGCAATGAAATACATTATATCATGGGCAAGGCAGTATCCAATACGCTCCGCAAAAAGAGATTCCAGTAGAAAGATAGACAAAAGAAATGTCTACCTTGAATGTGACTTTGTACATTTTCCCTCAACTTTGCTGGCCTGGACAAGGTGCGCCCCTAGCGGCCATTGTTGTTGCCGCATTTCGACTCGAAACTACAAAATGTTAGAATGGACATTTCACCCTTTTTTCAGCATCGCTAACCGATAATCCTTCGAGCAACGAATTCAGTAAAATTAGCGTACGGCGCTGATAATTTACAAAGCTCTTTGGTGGCTGTAAGATAGAAGCAAACTGGCAATGCAGTATCATTGGCAGGGCAATATCCAACACACCCCGCAAAAAAAAGATGCCAGTAAAAGAAATAAAGCCCGATAAAAACGCCTAAAAACTCGTCAAAAATAAGCCAGTGCATAAACCTCTGCTTCAAGTACGGTGTTTGCTGTCTGCAACAAGGGCCTACTTTTTGAACGACAAGAATGTTACTAAGAAAATGCGTGGTTCAGATGACAATGCTCTTTGGCACAGAAGTACTTTATTTGGCGAATTGACCTTCGGTGTGTCATATTTTACGCGCGACAGTACGAGCTTTGTAACACTTTGTAAAACTTCTGCGTCATTTATGACAAGCCACCACCCTTAAAGGGGGGTTAGGATGGTCGAATTTGGCAAACATAGACCAGGAGAGTGGGTCCACCTACTCTCCAAGCAGAGGTTGATGGTGGAAGATCGTTTGCATTTTATATATGGCCATTTTTTGTCGCTACCACCACTTGGGTGGAGAAATGGTTACAGACTGGCCAATTTAATACTGTCTTACCCCCACCAAAAGATCTGCTTGGAGATTAGGTCCACCGTTACGGTTTCATTTTCATTTTCTCCGGCTAGGGGCAAAAAACTCTACGGTGGCTAAGTTCTAGCCTCTACCATACCAGGCTTGGGGAGGCGGCTGGAAGGAGTAGAAATCGGCCAAATAGAGAGATAAGCATGCCAAGGGAGTTTGTCCGTTGAAAGAACATTTCGCCGCACCCTTTTGGGCGTAAATTATACTGTTTTTGAACCCACGTTGTTTAAGTCTGTTGTTCAGGACATTGACACCTGTAACTATACACAGTATCACGTTACACAGTAAACATAGCAACGACCAAACGGACAACAAGGGGGGCGTGTAAAGACCGACCCCAAAGTCAATTTAACATTCCCAGTACGGGAGAAAGGGAAACATTGATTGTTCCAGCACGACTAGGAACCAATTTGCTGGAAGGCGTTTTAAGTTTAACGCCCGGGACGTTAAGATTATCACTCAGCATGTGAAATGAGAGGACCCCTACAGCGATAGTATTCGGCGCGTGTCTAGGAATTAAATCTCATACAGTATGTATATGGGCCCGCGAATTCATGCAAGCATTTCTTACAAGGCAATGCACAAATATGAACTTACAACGGTATTTTATTGCTGATGTTAAATGTTATCACGACAAAGCTCGTAGCGAAGCTGGAGTGTTTTTTCAAGGATCAGTGGTTTTATTTGCATGGTTTCACCTGCGTTTTTATTTGGGGGGGGGGAGTTGTGAATTACTAGCTAAAGATACTGTCAAGAAGATAAGCTCAAATTATTTCTTCTTCTTGTAGGGCTTTTTGAATACTTTTTATGAGTGATTTCTTATATCGAGTCTCCCTCTAGATACATTCGTACTCTGCGGTGTGCCCTAGAGACTAGTGGTACAACCCACCCCTCCCCGAATACTTGGTAGATTCCAGTTCCATCGATTCGATCACAACATGGAGTCAGTCGGAAGGCGAGTCGTGCCGAGAGGAGCGGGCGGCTAGCAGGTTAGAATCGGGCGGCTAGCTCGGGCTCTAGTCCTCTGACTTCAGTTTTGATCGTCCAGAGGACACGGTCAAGATACTGCCTCCATCGGAATCACCGGGATTGTCAGCTCCGGCGACTCCACCGGCCGCGCCGGCCGTGGCCTACCTGCCCATGGACACCATGGACGCCAACTGTAACCAGAAGGAGCGCATGTGGTGGGCCTTCCTGACGTCCAGCTTCGTCACCTTCGTCGGCGGGTTAGTATGTATCCTGCTGTGGAGACTGGGCGCCTGGCTCTTCTGCCGGGTGGCGGAGAAGCCCGCCGAGGTCGTGGCACAGTCGCCGTCGGCCACCAAAATGCAGGACACGGGAGTGTTCGTGAAGTCTCCCGACCCCGAGATCGGCTGGATGACGGCCGTAAAGGACTGGGCAGGTGTCCTCATTTCAGCTCAGACTGTCACCGGAAGAATCTTGGTACGTCCCCTTTTTATTTTCTCGATTATTAAGATTATATATATATTCCTACAAAGCGAAAGGACGTTGGTACGTTTGTGTAAAAATTGGGGAGGGTGATGCACCTGTTCGCTTGTTCCAAAATGTCATCTCGTCCGTAGCGCCTTACCCGTACTATCTCATAGCCCAGCCACCACAAGTAAGACCTCCGACAATTTTCAACATGTCATGTAGAAATCCTTGCCTTGTTCGGCTATCTTTTCCCTCGCCTGTGGCCGTCGGGACGCCACCCGTGGGACCGTTTGAATTCTCCGCGCGATTTTGGGTTGGGCTGCGGGAAAGAAGAGGGCAACAGCTAGGACATACTGTAGGCCCGGCCCGGACAATTTTGTCATGGTGATCCTTGTACACAAACCGTCCTTGCCTTAGGCAACATGTCCAAAATAGATAAACACGCGCTAGATAATTACCAACAAACAACTGCAAGCGTTTTTCTTCCGTGTAAATTATCTGTCAAGAAGGTAACACGGCACAAAATCCCTAGTTTCCGTGTGAGAAATTGCCGCACACTTTCCCGGATATTTTAGGTTTCCGGTAGAACCCGGGGGTTTCCGACCTGCACACGAAACGTGTCCAGTCCCGTACATGTCCTGTACACTCCCGGAAATGAACCACTTTTTGTGTGCAGGTCGTGTACTGGACGTTATATGCCCGGACACGATCCCTGTACATCCCCGTACACGGCAGGAAATGGCCGTGCACCGCTCCGTGCGTTGCTGGAATATGCATAATTTAGCGGCAATTATCACCTAATTATTCTCCACACGGCAGCGGAAATTCGCCGTGTACGGGTCGGACATGCCGGTACTACACACCCCCCCCGGCCAAAACCCGCCCCGCTCTCGGGACCGGTTGCTCCCGTTCCCGGGACCCGTTGCTCCCATTCCCGGGGCCCTGCTGTTCCCGTTCTCGGGACCCCACTGCACCCACTACGGGGACCCCCCTTCCTGCTCCCGGGGCTTTGCTGCCCGGCTCCCGAGAAATCGCTTCCCCCGCTCCCGGGACACATTTCGATGTTTTAGGAACACATTTCATTCATAAAAAAAAGTAATACATGTTTATACTTCATTCATCGTTTTATTGGTATAAACAGGATCGCCATTTACAGACTGACAAAAATAACGCTCTATGTATAGTGTATACACGTTATGCACTATGCTAACAGTATACAATAATGTAACCTGGTACTTTGTCAAAAATAGTGTAGCCGAAACATAGAAACAATAGCTTTTTCCCGAACTAGACTTCCAGGGACTAGCTTTTAAAAATCGTTGGACCCGGTGTAAACTCAGAAATTACTAGTAATTAACAGATTTCTCTAACTTTAAAAAGTAAACTAACATCACATCTCATCACAGTCACCTCCAAATAGAAGTCCATTTTAGCAAAAATGTCAAAAAGTAACTAATACTGACATATCATCAGGTTAAAAGAGGAAAATAGCCCTCAGATCATGAAAGTGAATGGCGCTTACTCAAACAGTCAAAAGACTAAATTTTCAATAAACAAAGAAGGCCTCAAACAAAGTTCTTCAAAATACATGTACGTGTAGCAAAAACATAATTGCAGACCTAACGTGAAGTTAAATGAGGCTTGGCAGAAAACAATATCACGTCATTACAAAAAAAGATCATTTGCTCAGAAATTAATTACATGAACACGTATTCAATTTACAATGTCGTTAAAGACAAGCTGTCGGTTTCGTAAAGTTTGCGTTGTCGCCTCTACAAAATGAGGCTTAGTTGTAGATTGAAGGCCAGGAGGTATGCCCCCCCCCTTGCTTCAGGGGACCATAGCGAAATGTTTTAATCCTGGAAGGACAAACTGCTCCATGTCTGTCTGGCGGGATGGCGTGGTGTTGGTGTCGGTTGTGATCGCAGTCAGGCCGGAGCGGCGTGCTGGGCGCGGGGTGCACCCCGGGCGGGAGTGCAGCGGGGCCGGCCTGGGTCGTCGGAGCCTGCCGGGCGCTTTAACACAGCACCCTCGCCTTTAGATCTGAGCCTGGGTGTGCAGTCTGCCTGTTTGCCTCCAGCCTGGCCTGCAGGACATGGAAAAACGAAAATCTAAGTCAAAAGTCGAAGGCATTTTTGAATTTCATTTGAAGTTACGTGTACACATGTACTAGACGTTTTATAAACAAGCCTGGCAAAGATGCGGACGTCTGTATGGACACATTTCGAGGAGAAGTCATTTATCATTTTTAATGAATGTTTTTAACGTCAGACAGCAACAATTTTGTCCAGGTGAAAAGGCTCCATTCATCAAGCATCAACGTCTACCTGTTTCTTTTCATTGTAATCATGGGAACAATACAAACACAACATTTCCCTCGGTAATGAAAACAATTCAAATTGTCAAGAGCCTTGTCGGCCTTCGTATGCAAAGATATACATTTGCATAGACTCACCCTCTTCTGTGTGACTGCAGTCGCTTTTCTTTCTTTCTTTTCTGAGCTCTCCGACAGCCTGGCGATAAAGTTTCTTCAAATCGTCTCAAAGTATCCCAAATCCGCGCCTGAAAAAAGTACATATGTTGTGAGCAACATACAAACTATATCGATGTACTTCTAAGTAGAAATAATAAACTATGTTATTAATCAGTAAAAAAATAGTGTACACTTCTTGCCAAAATAAGTATTTCTGCCGTAGGCACAACTTAGCCAAGGTTTTTAAACAACATGTTTAAGATATATGTAACGATAGTGCCGTATATATAATAGTATCCTTGTTTTAGCTTACCCTTCCTCCTGTCGGTTTGCTGGTTCGTTGCGGTGTTGTCCTTTCAATGTAGTAGAGTCATTTCTTCCGTTGCGAAAACGAAGTAACAGAACGGAATGTTTGACGCCATTTAGTTCAGGAACATACTAGTAATCTTTGCAAGCCGAGACGAACGTGTTTTGAAAAAGCAAACCGTCGTTGTGACAAAGCAAGATTCAAGCGACCCACCAAAACAAAGCATCGCGTCTCTTATTGGCTGGTCCCGGCGAGAGCGAGGTAGGATTGGTCGTCAGTCATATAATCACGTGATCGCGTTCAATACTACAACCATCTTGTTTTATATTATAGGTGTTAAGTTAAATCGCCTGTGCAGTCTGAACACTTGGATGATAGGATGTTTCTGATTGTGTGAATGTATTTATTTCAAGGCAGATAAATGATCTTTCATAATTCTAATTCGTCATGATTACATGGCTTTATTCGTTCTAGAATTACACAACTTGTCGCTCACTAAGTGAAATAAAACCGCACTTCAACTCCAACATAACCTTACTCTTTGTAAATGTATCCAAAATCCACAATTAATGTCATGAGGGTTGACTTGTTTTGCTGGATTTCAGTATTTTACCAGGCATGGGGACGCTGTGAGTTCTCCCTTTGTTTACACAAAGGCTATTCACATAAACGGACGCCATGTCAGACACATCACAATACACATCGACCGAACTACAATGTAAAGCTTGCATATTATTACCCATACATGTACCTAAAAATCATAACAAACTGATCAGGTCATGTTAGTTCAAACCCCCTTTAGTCAAGCGTTTGATTACATCAATGGTAATGAACCTCACGGATAAACTATTATTCCCAAAATAAAAATTCAGATTTAGACCGGAGTGTAGATTTAGGTCATTTTGACCGAGTAGGTCATATAACCCCAGCGTCGGGGCGCCCTACGCTCAAATGTGCTTTGTCGTATGGACGACATCACGATAAATCAAGCCAGGGACGCATAGGTTCAAATGTTGTATTAACAATCCTTGATCATTCTATATCTAATTTGCTTAGATTAAAGTGCTGGCAACTTTGGTTCAAGTAATTATCACCTGAAACATGAATACACGCAGTACCTAATTACCCCTTATTGTTAGCCGCTCCCCAACACACGCCAAGTGCGCGGGGCGTAAATTTCCGTGCACCTGCACGGCGAGCACGAATCCGGGAGTGTAAGGAAATATCCGGGGCCGTACACGCGGAGCCCGGAAATCCATGGACGCGACCAGGACACGGCGAATTTCACGGGCGTGTGCGGGACTGGAAACTCTTGGAAACGTGGTTTTTCAAGCAGTGTAAATGCCTCTTTGGTTAAAACAATGTGTCACACAGTAGCACCACGTTAATCAACTAAAATCCCCACCAAATTGCCCTATTTATCAAACACTAGCATTACAAGAGCCTTAATTCCACTTAAGCGTAACATAAGGCCTGCAGTGCAAATACAAGAAGAAATACAAGAACTATATGAAAAAAATCAATAATTTCTGCCATCCCTTGCAATTTGTTTTTTTTCTGAAAATACAACAGGTTGATGGTTAATTTAAGATAGAAGAATGACCTACGAATATTCTGCTATTTTTCCTCTTGCTCTTTAAAGCAGGAAAATTCCATTGGACTTATTGGCATAACAGGTGGTAAAAAATTAATGTGCTCAATAATGGCGGCCCAATATTCATGCTAACTGGTTGCATGTGTGGTGGGAAGGCCTGGCCATTGATATGAAGGGTTTTATGATTATATGGGTGTGCCTGCCATTCAAACTAGCCTATTCACACACATTTCGGCATTTAGAAACACCACACAAAAGCGCGAATGGAATTCAAAATGGGATTTACGAAATAAATAAACATGTTCATTCATGTAGGACATTGTGGCTTATACCTAAAGATTTTTTCATCTTCTATTCTATGTTGAATTGTTAAAATGGATACAAAAAACCCATTGAAATTAGACTGAGCTATTATGAAATGGTAATGTGGCCAGGTAATGTCCACCTGTGCTTTGAATGCCTTCTAGGTTATATAAAGATGAATTTCCTACGGCCAACCCAGCGACATTACATGGAGAAAATGTCTGCTTGGCTGTAAATTCTGACAAATAGCCCTCCCATATGCCCATCAATAAGAACCCAGGGTCTACGTATTCACCATATAACCCAGATATGTCCTCGCCTCAGAACCTGCA